TAGGCTAACCCCCTGATCTTGGGGAGAATATAGGCCCCAGTGGGAAGCCACTGCAATTGTTTTGTTAGATGGATGTGATGCACCTAATAAAGTACTGTCCAAGCATTTGTGTTTTCATCCATAGGTTAAGTTATTATAGCAGCCACTGTTTAGGTGTTTTTGCTTTTTCCTGTTTGTGTTTTTATAGTAGATGGAATCCCACTGAAATGGGCTAATAGCCCATGGAAAACAGACGATACAGAGACCCCAAAGTTCAGTGCTTTGTCACAAGCTCATCCCACACCTCCTACCCCCTCTAAGCCTCAGGAACTTTTGTGGAAGAGGTTGGTGGAAAGAATGTAAGAGCTGGAAGAAGGGGTGGAGTGTTAACTGGATGTGTCCTCCGACCATTATGCTGGCAAGCTATAGTCACATCTCCTTCCTGTCGAACGGGGAGTCAGTTACCCCTCCCACCCAGTCAGTCAACCTAAGCTGCATGTGGGGGAGGGACTAAGGATATATAAGCTAAGAATGCCATGAGGTACCTCTCTGGCCATTTTGTGAAGCTGTCAGAAAGTCACAGTATCTATATTTGAGTGTGGACTTTCCAGAGCAGCCATAAGGCGGGGGGCATCCAAGCTTCTGTAAATAAACCCCCACCCTATGCTCTGCTAGTAAGCCCAATAAACTAGTTAGGATTAAAAAAAAAAAAACAGAGCTAATGGAAATCTTCATTATTCCACCAAAGTTGATCCCATGCTGGCAAATTTTTTCATCTTTGATTTTTTTTGGGGGGAGGGGAGGTTGTTTTGAAATAAGGTCTCCCTGTGACTCCAGCTGGCCTGGAGCTCGCTGAGTGGACCAGGCTGGCCTCAAACTCACAGAGATCTGCTGGGCTCTGCCACCCAGGTGCTGGGACTGAAGACGTGTGCCACCATGCCCAGCTTTAGTCTTTGATTCTTATCCCTACTTTTCCACCCTTAAACTTCATTGTATATATTTTTTTATGTAACCTGGAAAATGTGTTAAAAATTGCCCCTCTTTGGAATAATAAAAATATTCTTTAAATAAAATAAATATATATATAAAAT